CCCAACTGAGGGTTTGTTATGGGACCCCAATGAGGAACCAGGTTGTGGTTGAGCCCCGGCCCCAATACATGAAACATGGACAGAGTCAGTCAATTCCGGAGGACCAATCAGATGGGATCACTAAGAAAGTGATCGATTGGTTGGGGTTGCATGGTACATTCTCAGACCTTCAGGTCAGGCCCCAAGTGTCATGAACTTCATGGGGTGAGATCGGCCCAAGGATGGAGGTTCAGACCTGGGGATCGGCCCGTATGAACTACAGCTCAGATCCTAAGACTGGGAAAGTGTCAGACCTCAGATCAGGGCGGCCCAGGCTCGGGGGAGAACCTCAGTAGACCCTGCAGATCGGTGGGACTACACATGCCTGAAGTGGCAGACCTCAAGGCTTTGAACCCCGGAGGTGGAACATACAGTGAGAATGAGATGTCAGAATGTGGTTCACCTAGAAAATGTTCAGTGGTTGCGTGCATTGACAATGATGGGTGGGTACGATTTCCCCGAAGATACCTCAGACTCAGATGGCCCCAATGAACTGTACCCAGAGGGGCATTATTGATGAATCAGTGGCCTGTCAGATCGGCCCCCCTAATGATGAACCTCAGACCTCAGATCGGCCCCCAATGATGATTGGTTGGGGGGGAGGCATCCCAATGATGATACCTCAGACCTCAGTCGGCCCCAATGATGAACCTCAGACCTCAGATCGGCCCCAATGATGAACCTCAGACCTCAGATCGGCCCCATGAATGAACCTCAGACCTCCAGACACCACAAATGTTTTTGAACTGAAATTTTCCCCAATGATGAACCTCAGACCTTACAGATCGGCCCCCCAATGATGAACCTCAGACTCAGTTTTGCCCAAGAACCCATTCTAGTTCGGCCCCAATGATGAACCTCAGACCTCAGATCGGCCCCAATGATGAACCTCAGACCTCAGATCGGCCCCAATGCATGAACCTCAGACCTCAGATCGGCCCCAATGCATGAACTTCAGACCTCAGATCGGCGGCCCCAATGATGAAACTCAGTCAGATCGGCCCCAATGATGGACCTCAGATCGGCCCCCCAAATGCATGAACTTCAGACCTCAGATCGGCCCCAATGATGAACCTCAGACCTCAGATCGGCCCCAATGTGATGAACCTCAGACCTCAGATCGGCCCCAATGATGAACCTCAGACCTCAGATCGGCCCCAATGCATGAACTTCAGACCTCAGATCGGCCCCATGCATGAACCTCAGACCTCAGATCGGCCCCAATGATGAACTTCAGACCTCAGATCGGCCCCAATGATGAACCTCAGACCTCAGATCGGCCCCAATGATGAACTTCAGACCTCAGATCGGCCCCAATGATGAACCTTCAGACCTCAGATCGGCCCCAATGATGAACCTCAGACCTCAGATCGGCCCCAATGCATGAACTTGACTCAGATCGGCCCCCTCATGCAGACCTCAGATCGGGCCCCCCAATGATGAACTTCAGACTCAGATCGGCCCCAATGATGAACTTCAGACCTCAGATCGGCCCCAATGATGAACTCAGACCTCAGATCGGCCCCAATGGCATGGAACTTCAGACCTCAGATTGGCCCCAATGATGAACTTCAGACCTCAGATCGGCCCCAATGATGAACTTCAGACCTCAGATCGGCCCCAATGCATGAACTTCAGACCTCAGATCGGCCCCCAATGATGAACCTCAAGACCTCAGATCGGCCCCAATGCATGAACCTTCAGACCTCAGATCGCCCCCAATGATGAACCTCAGATCGGCCTAGACCTCAGATCGGCCCCAATGATGAATTCAGACCTCAGATTCGGCCCCAAGCATGAACTCTCATCAGACCAGATCGGCCCCAATGATGAACCTCAGACCTCAGATCGGCCCAATGCATGAACCTCAGACCTCAGATCGGCCCCAAATGCATGAACCTCAGACACTCAGATCGGCTCGGCCCAATGCATGAACTTCAGACCTCAGATCGGCCCCAATGCATGAACTCAGACCTCAGATCGGCCCCAATGCATGAACTTCAGACCTCAGATCGGCCCCAATGCATGAACCTCAGACCTCAGATCGGCCCCAATGCATGAACTTCAGACCTCAGATCGGCCCCAATGCATGAACTTCAGACCTCAGATCGGGCCCCAATGCATGAACTTCAGACCTCAGAGATCGGCCCCAATGCATGAACTTCAGACCTCAGATCGGCCCCAATGCATGAACTTAGACCTCAGAGACCTCAGATCGGCCCCAATGCATGAACTTCAGACCTCAGATCGGGCCCCAATGCATGAACTTCAGACCTCAGATCGGCCCCAATGCATGAACTTCAGACCTCAGATCGGCCCCAATGCATGAACCTTCAGACCTCAGATCGGCCCAATGATGAACTTCAGACCCCAATGCATGAACTTCAGACCTCAGATCAGATCGGCCCCAGTGCATGAACCTCAGACCTCAGATCGGCCCCCCCAATGCATGAACCTCAGACCTCAGATCGGCCCCAATGCATGAACTTCAGACCTCAGATCGGCCCCAATGCATGAACTTCCTAAGACCTCAGATCGGCCCCAATGCATGAACTTCAGACCTCAGATCGGCCCCAATGTATGAACCTCAGACCTCAGATCGGCCCCCAATGCATGAACTTCAGACCTCAGATCGGCCCCAATGCATGAACCTTCAGACCTCAGATCGGCCCCCAATTGTCATGAACTTCAGACCTCAGATGGATCGGCCCCAATGCATGAACTTCAGACCTCAGATCGGCCCCAATGCATGAACTTCAGACCTCAGATCGGCCCCAATGCATGAACTTCGACCCAGACCTCAGAGGATCGGCCCCAATGCATGAACTTCAGACCTCAGATCGGCCCCAATGCATGAACTTCAGACTCAGATCGGCCCCAATGCATGAACTTCAGACCTCAGATCGGCCCCAATGCATGAACCTCAGACCTCAGATCGGCCCCAATGCATGAAACTTCAGACCTCAGATCGGCCCCAATGCATGAACCTTCAGACCTCAGATCGGCCCCAATGCAGATGAACTTCAGACCTCAGATCGGCCCCAATGCATGAACTTCAGACCTCAGATCGGCCCCAATGCATGAACCTCAGACCTCAGATCGGCCCCAATGCATGAACCTCAGACCTCAGATCGGCCCCAATGATGAACCTCAAGACCTTCAGATCGGCCCCAATGCATGAACCATTCAAGACTCAGATCGGCCCCAATGCATGAACTTCAGACCTCAGTCAGATCCGGCCCCAATGCATGAACTTCAGACCTCAGATCGGCCCCCAATGCATGAACTTCAGACCTCAGATCGGCCCCAATGCATGAACTTCAGACTCAAGACCTCAGATCGGCCCCAATGCATGAACTTCAGACCTCAGATCGGCCCCAATGCATGAACCTAAGACCTCAGATCGGCCCCAATGCATGCATGAACCTCAGACCTCAGATCGGCCCCAATGCATGAACTTCAGACCTCAGATCGGCCCCAATGCATGAACTTCAGACCTCAGATCGGCCCCAATGCATGAACCTAAGAATCAAATCGGCACCACATGCATGAACCTCAGACCTCAGATCGGCCCCAATGCATGAACTTCAGAGACCTCAGATTGGCCCCAATGCATGAACCTCAGACCTCAGATCGGCCCCATGCATGAACCTAGCAGACCTCAGATCGGCCCCCAATGCATGAACCTCAGACCTCAGATTCGGCCCCAATGCATGAACTTCAGACCTCAGATCGGCCCCAATGCATGAACCTAAGACCTCAGATCGGCCCCAGTGTATGAACCTCAGACCTCAGATCGGCCCCCAATGCATGAACTTCAGACGTCAGATCGGCCCCATTACCCAATGCATGAACCTCAGACCTCAGATCGGCCCCAGTGCATGAACCTCAGACCTCAGATCGGCCCCAGTGCATGAACTTCAGACCTGTCAGATCAATGGCCCCAATGCATGAAACTTCAGACCTCAGATCGGCCCCAATGCATGAACTTCAGATGTCAGATCGGCCCCAATGCATGAACTTCAGACCTCAGATTGGCCCCAGTCCATGAACCTAAGACCTCAGATTGGCCCCAATTCATGAACTTCAGACGTCAGATCGGCCCCAATGCATGAACCTCAGATCAGATCGGCCCCAATGCATGAACCCAGACCTCAGATCGGCCCCAGTGCATGAACTTCAGACTCAGATCGGCCCAATGCATGAACTTCAGACCTCAGATCGGCCCCAGTCCATGAACTAAGACCTCAGATCGGCCCCAAATGATTGAATTTCAGACCTCAGATCGGCCCCAGTGCATGAACCTAAGACCTCAGATCGGCCCCTATGCATGAACTTCAGATGTCAGATCGGCCCCAATGCATGAACCTCAGACCTCAGATTGGCCCCAATGCATGAACCTAAGACCTCAGATCGGCCCCAATGCATGAACTTCAGACCTCAGATCGGCCCCAATGCATGAACTTCAGACCTCAGATCGCCCCAGTGCATGAACCTAAGACCTCAGATCGGCCCCAATGCATGAATTTCAGACCTCAGATCGGCCCCAGTGCATGAACCTAAGACCTCAGATCGGACCCCTATGCATGAACTTCAGATGTCAGATCGGCCCCAATGCATGAACCTTCAGACCTCAGATTGGCCCCAATGCATGAACTTCAGATGTCAGATCAGTCCACAAAATATTTAGCAACCTAGTGAGCTGCCAGTTACAGTCAATGGCTTTTTTGTGGCCCACACAGTGTACTGGTTCTTCATTCTTCTGACACCTGTGACAAAAGAAGACTATCTATTTCACCCCAGGAACTCAATAGTCTCATCCAAAAGCCCTGTAGAACTTTGAGGCCTTCAGGCATAATGGAAGTGACTGAAACCACCAGAAAAGTACCTAAGTATGGCTGGACTATACTCTTGCACCCATCTGTAGATACCTCTGGACCCTCCATACAAGAAATACTTACAGTCCTGGCACTCTGTGTCCTCCAGGCAGAAGCTGGCCTTATGTCCCTCAGTCCACTTTGGACCCATTTGAAGTCAGCAGATCATAGTGCGTGAAAATGTCCATACTGTGGTAATGCCTGAGGAGACACAAGTGTGAGAGAGATCACAAGTCAATGTCTTCAATATATCACCATCTTCTGTCACCCGTCTGGAGAAGGCAGAGGCTTTCTTCCCTCTGTATCATGCCTACTTACCCATGGCATTCATGCCACACCCAGGAGTGTCTGCCAGCCTTTGGCCTGAAGTCAGCACGTCCAATGTTGTGTATATTTGGGAGGAGAATCGCAGTAGTCGTCGGTGGCCATATGGCCAGTTGGCATTGCGAGCGGTGCTGGACAGGCAGTTCTCTTCAGCCGCACAGTACAGCATGTGAAGTGGTCGGTCCTCGATATAGGCCGTCTCCTGGACGAGAGGTGCATGAAGGACCAGATCAGAAGCAGCTGTTGGGATAATGTCACAACATGTATGTTTTTCACCGTATGTTAGTGTGAAATCTTATCGATTTTCTACTCACTGGACCTCCAATACAATCTCCTTCAACATCGTGCTACAATGTCCTTTACCATGAAACAATCGCCTTCCATTATAACAGATCGTCCGTAACCAATAAAACATTGTCCTCCTTCACCTGACCCACCATACGGACCATAGCCTACATGCCCCAATCCATTGGACTATCCTCTATTAAACGCAACCCGTCTCTCCTCAACCTGGACCCATCAGACCCATGAATCCCCAGTACTGACCGTAGTCTATGCCTCCTTCTCCTCCAATCCACTGGACTTATTCTATAATAACTGCACCCCGTCTGTCCTCAACCTGGACCCATCAGACCCATGAATCCCCAGTACTGACCGTAGTCTATGCCTCCTTCTCCTCCAATCCACTGGACTTATCTCTATAATAACTGCACCCCGTCTGTCCTCAACCTGGACCCATCAGACCCATGAATCCCCAGTACTGACCATAGTCTATGCCACCTTCTCCTCCAATCCCCTGATCTTATTCTATAATAACTGCACCCCGTCTCTCATGAACTTGGATCCATCAGACCTTTACCTTCTCTAACTATGTTCCAACCTTAGTCTATACCCCCCAATCTACTGGACGTATTTTATAATAATCGCACCCCATATATCCTCTACCTGGACCCTACCAGACCCATGCTTGTGTACTTACCATAGTATACATCCCCCCCCCCCATCCTCTACCTGGACCTACCAGACCCATGCTTGTGTACTTACCATAGTATACATCCCCCCCCCCCCCATCCTCTACCTGGACCTACCAGACCCATGCTTGTGTACTTACCATAGTATACATCCCCCCCCCCCCATCCTCTACCTGGACCTACCAGACCCATGCTTGTGTACTTACCATAGTATACATCCCCCCCCCCCCCCATCCTCTACCTGGACCTACCAGACCCATGCTTGTGTACTTACCATAGTATACATCCCCCCCCCATCCTCTACCTGGACCTACCAGACCCATGCTTGTGTACTTACCTTACCATAGTATACATCCCCCCCCATCCTCTACCTGGACCTACCAGACCCATGCTTGTGTACTTACCATAGTATACATTCCCCCCCCCCCCCATCCTCTACCTGGACCTACCAGACCCATGCTTGTGTACTTACCTTACCATAGTATACACCCCCCCCCATCCTCTACCTGGACCTACCAGACCCATGCTTGTGTACTTACCTTACCATAGTATACATCCCCCCATCCTCTTCCTGGACCTACCAGACCCATGCTTGTGTACTTACCATAGTTTACATCCCCCCATCCTCTTCCTGGACCCACCAGACCCATGCTTGTGTATTACCATAGTTTACAACCCCCCCCATCCTCTACCTGGACCTACCAGACCCATGCTTGTGTACTTACCATAGTATACATCCCCCCCCATTATCTACCTGGACCTACCAGACCCATGCTTGTGTACTTACCATAGTTTACACCCCCACCCCCCCCATCCTCTACCTGGACCATCCAGACCCATGCTGCAATCTTCATCTCTGATTGATCTATACCACCCCACTTCCCAATCCCCTGGATCTAGTCCATATTTACTGAATTTTGAGTGAGATTTACTAAAACTGGTGACTGCGAAATCTGGTGCAGCTGTGCATAGTAACCAATCAGCTTCCAGGTTTTATTGTCAAAGCTAAATTGAAGTAGCTGAAGGTAGAAGCTGATTGGCTGCCATGCACAGCTGTACCAGATTCTGAGTGCTCCAGTTTTAGTAACTCTCTTCTCCTCCATTCTGTGGACTATACAGACCCATGGTTCAATCTTTATCCATATGTCCACACTGAACAACACTCGTAACCCCCAATCCACTCAACTATATTGTAACTGATCCCCCTCGTCTTTATGTCCCCAATCTATTGGACTTCCTTCAATACCTGAGGAGCTGTGTCCCTCCAATACCTGAGGAGCCGTGTTCCTCCAATACCTGAGGAGCCATGTTCCTTCAATACCTAAGGAGCCGTGTTCCTTCAATACCTAAGGAGCCGTGTTCCTTCAATACCTAAGGAGCCGTGTTCCTTCAATACCTGAGGAGCCGTGTTCCTCCAATACCTGAAGAGCCGTGTTCCTCCAATTCATGAGGAGCCGTGTTCCTCCAATTCATGAGGAGCCGTGTTCCTTCAAAACCTGAGGAGTCGTGTTCCTTCAATACCTGAGGAGCTGTGTCCCTCCAATACCTGAGGAGCCGTGTTCCTCCAATACCTGAGGAGCCATGTTCCTTCAATACCTGAGGAGCCGTGTTCCTCCAATACCTGAGGAGCCGTGTTCCTTCAATACCTGAGGAGCCATGTTCCTTCAAAACCTGAGGAGCCATGTTCCTCCAATACCTGAGGAGCCGTGTTCCTCCAATACCTGAGGAGCCGTGTTCCTCCAATACCTGAGGAGCCGTGTTCCTCCAATACCTGAGGAGCCATGTTCCTTCAAAACCTGAGGAGCCATGTTCCTCCAATACCTGAGGAGCCGTGTTCCTTCAATACCTGAGGAGCCGTGTTCCTCCAATACCTGAGGAGCCGTGTTCCTTCAAAACCTGAGGAGCCATGTTCCTCCAATACCTGAGGAGCCGTGTTCCTTCAATACCTGAGGAGCCATGTTCCTTCAATACCTAAGGAGCCGTGTTCCTCCAATACCTGAGGAGCCGTGTTCCTTCAATACCTAAGGAGCCGTGTTCCTTCAATACCTAAGGAGTCGTGTTCCTTCAATACCTGAGGAGCCGTGTTCCTTCAATACCTAAGGAGCCGTGTTCCTTCAATACCTGAGGAGCCGTGTTCCTCCAATACCTGAGGAGCCGTGTTCCTCCAATTCATGAGGAGCCGTGTTCCTCCAATTCATGAGGAGCCGTGTTCCTTCAATACCTGAGGAGCCGTGTTCCTCCAATACCTGAGGAGCCGTGTTCCTTCAAAACCTGAGGAGTCGTGTTCCTTCAATACCTGAGGAGCCATGTTCCTCCAATACCTGAGGATCCGTGTTCCTCCAATACCCGAGGAGCCGTGTTCCTCCAATACCTGAGGAGCTGTGTTCCTTCAATACCTGAGGAGCCATGTTCCTTCAAAACCTGAGGAGCCATGTTCCTCCAATACCTGAGGAGCCGTGTTTCTCCAGCTACTAGAACCACCCTCTGAAACTGAACTCCATTTCCAGCCATTGAAGCTTCCGCCCCTTCTACAAAGGTAATGACTAGTCACCTAATACAAGACCTGCACTCATGGGAACTGGACTAGATTGTAGTAAATCCTTTGACCTGCCAACCTACAGAGGTGAAGGCCTTACTTTTCCATTCTCTGACTATTTATGCAGCATCATACAATATCTTTAATATCATACTCACTTTCGGAACATATGACTCCTGCTGCATGGCGTGAGCCGGTGTTCTTGCAGCTGACGGCGCGGTGATGAGAACACTGCTGTAGAGACATCTCATTGCCGGAACAGCGTACCCCACTCAGGATCATATCCGTCACATTGCTGGAGTCCCAGTACCAGGTTTCCTGGGTGCAGACAGTAATACATAACAGCACAAGCAGAACAAACTCTCCAAACCTCAAATATTGCACCATGCAGAGTCTGCTCCAATTATTGTGTACCCCTCTTCTATATGGTACTGTGACCCTCTATTCATTCTATGAGGTCCTATGAGCCCATACAATTTATTCTCATATACGTGACATGGGAACAGGTAAGACCCTCCACTGTACGTACCGTCACGGCATGCAGAGAGTACCCCAAGCCGAGCTGCCGACAAGCCACCATTGCCTCCTTAGTGGTCCAGCCATCGCTGCACAGGTAACCCCAAGATGTTCCAAGCTTCAGTTCCACGCGCCCTTCATACCGTGAGCGCCCCCCAACAATGCGTATCTGTGAGGCAGCCGGAGTGCAGCAAGCAGTGACATAGAGACATCAGACAAAGCACCATTAAGGTCAAGTACATGGCAACACAACGTGGACAGACACCGTGAGGTGGAACCGACTCTGGACATCAGAAATATGAAGAGACACTGAAGGAAAATTTCATATTTACAAGAAGCAGAGGCAAGCTTCTTCAGGGAGACACATGAACAACAAGGCAAGACTGGAGGCTTCCTGGGAGAAACAAAGCATGCTGCAAACTTACCTCAAACCAAACCATGTACATATAGCAGCCCATCCATGAAAACCAGCAACAGGAGCACAGGAGAGACATACACAGAGAACACACACCAACACGTACACTGGACAGATGTACACAGAGAACACACCAACACGTACACTGGACAGATGTACACAGAGAACACACCAACACACAGCAACCCCTACACCACACAGAGACAAGCACAGAGGAGCTGACATGCATATGGCAGACACGGAAACTGACCCTTCCGTAGGACTTTGTATTGTCAGGTTCATGTTTTATGAAGCCTCGTTGAGTAGCTCATACTCTTCCCAACGTTCACTGAGGTCCAATACTGTGTCATCTCCTACTATTGCAGAGGATAGACATGGGGTCAGGCTGGGTGTACATAATAGCAAAACTGGCCTTAGATTCGAAAAAGTAGGTCCATTACATCACCCTCAGTGTGTTATAGCCGGTATGGCTTCAGGAATGGTTACATGGTGCAACTATCTGTATTTAGCCTATGGAGATAGACAAGGTGGTGCATAGACACAGCTCTGATCTTGGCATATCTGGGAGAATAAAAAAGCAATTGTTCAACTTTTCAACCTATCTGATCACTTCACTCTCCAAAACAAGTTTCTGCCGGTGTCTGCTGGTGCCCCATGGACTTTAGATGGTTGTATTGTGTGGTTTATGCTGGTGCCCCAAGGACATTAGATAGTAATATTGTGTGGTGTCTGTTGGTGCCCCATGGACATTAGATGGTTGTATTGTGTGGTGTTTGTTGGTGCCCCATGGACCTTAGATGGTCATATTGTGTGGTATCTGCTCTTGCCCCATGGACATTGGATGGTTTTGTTGTATGGTGTCTGTTGGTGCCCCAAGGACATTAGATAGTAATATTGTGTGGTTTCTGCTGGTTCCCCATGAACATTGATGGTTGTATAGCATGGCATCTGTTGGTGTCCCATGGACATCAAATGGTTATATTTTGTGTCTGCTGGTTCCTCGTGGACATTGATGGTTGTATTGTGTGGTGGCTACTGGTGCTACATGAACATTTGATGGTTGTATTACTCACTATTACTAGTGTCTGCTGGTGGCATTTGGTGATCTTATTGTGTGGTGTCAGCTGGTTACCCATATACAGTACATTTGTGGTCTTATTATGTGGTGCTTTCTGGTACCCCATTGGGCATTTGATGGTCTTATTGTGCGGTTTCTGTGGGTGCCCCATGGGCATTTGATGGTCTTATTGTTCGGTTTCTGCGGGTGCCCCATGGACATTTGATGGTCATACTGTGCAGTGTCTGCTGGTGTCCCATGGACATTTGATGGTCATACTGTGCAGTGTCTGCTGGTGTCCCATGGACATCTGATGGTCATACTGTGCAGTGTCTGCTGGTGTCCCATGGACATCTGATGGTCATACTGTGCAGTGTCTGCTGGTGTCCCATGGACATCTGCTGGTGTCCCATGGACATCTGATGGTCATACTGTGCAGTGTCTGCTGGTGTCCCATGGACATCTGATGGTCATACTGTGCAGTGTCTGCTGGTGTCCCATGGACATCTGATGGTCATACTGTGCAGTGTCTGCTGGTGTCCCATGGACATCTGATGGTCATACTGTGCAGTGTCTGCTGGTGTCCCATGGACATCTGATGGTCATACTGTGCAGTGTCTGCTGGTGTCCCATGGACATTTGATGGTCATACAGTGCAGTGTCTGCTGGTGTCCCATGGATATTTGATGGTCATACTGTGCAGTGTCTGCTGGTGCCCCATGGACATTTGATGGTCATACAGTGCAGTGTCTGCTGGTGTCCCATGGACATTTGATGGTCATACTGTGCAGTGTCTGCTGGTGTACCATGGATATTTGATGGTCATACTGTGCAGTGTCTGCTGGTGTACCATGGATATTTGATGGTCATACTGTGCAGTGTCTGCTGGTGCCCCATGGACATTTGATGGTCATACAGTGCAGTGTCTGCTGGTGTCCCATGGACATTTGATGGTCATACTGTGCAGTGTCTGCTGGTGTACCATGGATATTTGATGGTCATACTGTGCAGTGTCTGCTGGTGTACCATGGATATTTGATGGTCATACTGTGCAGTGTCTGCTGGTGTACCATTGATATTTGATGGTCATACTCTGCAGTGTCTGCTGGTGTCCCATGGACATTTGATGGTCATACTGTGCAGTGGCTGCTGGTGTCCCATGGACATTTGATGGTCATACTGTGCAGTGGCTGCTGGTGTCCCATGGACATCTGATGGCCATACGTTGCAGTGTCCGCTGGTGCCCCATGGGCAGTTAGTGTTCTCCTTGTGTGGCGTGTGTTGGTGCCCCATGGACATCAGATAGTTGTATTGCGGTGTTTCTGAGTTTCTGATAAAACTAGGACTAATCATGGCTGTAGCAGTAGACAACTTATATCAAAAAGGTTCTCCAAAGATACAAGAAAAAAAGCAACAGGTCCTCATCTGTGAGGAATGAACCAATAAGAAAGAGTCCGTCCCATATGAAAGCTCATCCGTGTTCTTCCCAGAGTTCTGTAATGTTTGCATTACTACAGCTGCACATGTATTCATTCCTAGCTGTGAAATGTGGACTTTTAACGTGACTCTGCTGCAGTGGAAGATTCCACAAACAATGGCCAGAACAGACCAATATCATTGCATCTGTGTGTGGTCATAGTCATTCCCAGCCAAGTCTCAGCTTATTGGGGCCTAATTCTGGAATGAAGGGGAGCATCTGTCCTTACTTCATCATCTATATACCATCTGCTTCCATCTCAATCATTTATGTACTAACGGGGGATTCTGGGTAGAGTGCTAACCTTCAGATAAATGAGTGGACATGGAGCTGAGGGTGAGAAGAGCAGCACTGAGAGGTTAGTGAACCCAGGTGAGGTTAGTGAACCCAGCCACCAACAATCAGCTGAAGGAAGAGCGATATATCTGTATCAGCGGAGGTCTTACCATAAGATTTACCCTTTATGGACCCAACATCATTCCTTCTGGCCCTCTCTGAGGATCCCCCAGTCTTCATATGTATTTCCTCTTCCAGTTCTACATGACATACAGTTCCCTCTGGCTTTCTGCCCAGTGCTATGTATTCATCCTGGAAGGGCCTGCTGTCCCACCTTTGCTGGGTTTGGTACCCCGTATAGTTATTTATCTCCAGGATTAAGGCAGTGTGAAGACCCTCCATAGATTCCACGTACCTGCAGTGCACTGCTGACGAATCCGAGACCCAACTGATGGCAGACCACATTGGCCTCTTTACTTCCCCAGCCTTCTCCACACACCAGGCCCCAGCGTTCTTGTCCTCGAGGTCCCCATAAAACCTCCACCCGCCCCTCATGCTGGGATCTCCCCCCGTGCAGGCGAATCTGGGAGTTAAGGGAGAAGGAGCTACAGTGAAAAGAATTCTGCTTTGGCACATATAAGTCTTGCTCTCCTCACAACATAGGGAGAAGCTTTTCTCTACCAGACTGATATCTGAAAATGGGGATGGATCTTGTAGATCGCTCAGGACATTGATCTCGCTAAGTTATTGCTACCCTAATGATTTTATTCACCTGACCATAAATTTTTGACACACAGCAAATGAGTCAGGTATGGCCTGTGATCTTAAAGCACCAGAGATTGCTCTGCTAGCCCAGCGTTGGAGGTCAGATGAATAATTCCTACCAACCACATTTTTATTCACAAAGCAAAAGATGACATCAGAGACATGGACTAGCTTCTTTTGTGCTGAGAAAACCATCCATTCGTTGACATGGATCAGGTTCACCACCTCTGCTGCCATTTGTAGCTTTAATCTCAGGGCTCTGTGGTCAGAAAACTGGACAAAATAGCTGCACTTCAGAAGAGGTTTGGAGGTATTCATGGCTTTTGTGAACCTTTATGTTCCCAAACATCTCAAAGGATTTCAATTAAATCAGACACGGAATCTTTCTTCTCTCCTCCACCTCCGAGCACACTGCCATCCACAATAAGATATTCTTCTAAAAACTCTTCCTTCTCTTCCATCTCCAGAAAATCCTCACATGTCCCACCTCACATCACTCAATACATTCCCACTACATCCACAATACTATACTCTTCTGAAGAACCTTCCTTCTCCTCCACATCTCCAGAAAACCCTCACGTCCCACCTCACATCACTCAATACATTCATGCTCCTTCCACAGCACAATCCTCTTCTGGAGAATCTTCCTTCTCCTCCACATCTCCAGAAAACCCTCACGTCCCACCTCACAGCACTCACTATGTTCCACTCCATCCACAACACCATACTCTTCTGAGGAGTCTTTCTTCTCCTCCATGTCTCCAGAAAACCCTCACATGTCCCACCTAACATCACTCAATACATTCCCACTCCATCCACAGCACAATACTCTTCTGAAGACTCTTCCTTTTCCACCACATTTCCAGAAATCCTGCACATGTCCCACCAACCCTCATTCAATGTACTTTACTCCATGCACAATATGATAGTCTTCTGAAGAATCTTCCTTCTCTTCCACATCTTCAGAAAACCCTCACATGTCCCACCTCACAGCACTCAATATTTTCCATTCCATCCACAACACAATACTCTTCTGAAGACTCTTCCTTCTCCATCTCCAGAAAACCCTCACATGTCCCACAACACCACTCAATATTTTCCACTCCATCCACAACACCATACTCTTCTGAAGACTCTTCCTTCTCCATCTCCAGAAAACCCTCACATGTCCTACAACACATCACTCAATGTAGTAAACTCCATCCACAATAGGATACTCTTCTGAAGAATTTTCCTTCCATCCCCAGAAAACCCTCACATGTCCCACAACACATCACTCAATATTTTCCACTCCATCCACAACACCATACTCTTCTGAAGACTCTTCCTTCTCCATCTCCAGAAAACCCTCACATGTCCTACAACAACACATCACTCAATGTAGTCCACTCCATCCACAATAGGATACTCTTCTGAGGAATTTTCCATCCTTCCCATCCACACAACAGTTCCCAAATCCTTCCCAGTTCTCTGTCTCTCCCACAATGTTCCACAATCACAATTACAACCCAGGCAATAATCAGAACTGAGGATACAAATCTCACAGGCTTGTAGAGGAAATCATGGCGTTACTGACCGTGTTCTCATACCCCATGTATGGAATGTTGCACTTGACAGAGGCGTCCTCGCTGTGTTTGCAGTCCTCCTGTGTGATGTTCTTGTACTGGCAGTCAAAGAGGGAGTCTTCTGTTCCCGTACACCGCACTTCATTCATGTGGATTGGACCCATGCCTGTGACAGAAGGATGACGTGTCAATGGATTCTTCAAGATCTATCCATGAACTTCAGAAAAGTGCACTGATATCTCCTGAATGTCTCAAACTAACCAGATGATGGAAGAAACAGACAAAATGTCCCAATATAAGGTTAGATTACCAAAAGCACCAGCTGTGGATGTACATTTGGATAAATGGCCCTATATATTGTTGTTATACAGCTGTGCATGGTGGTATCCACATCCAGTAATGATGTTGAATTTCAGATCCTCCCAGTCTCTTACCTTGCCCCATTCGTGCCCCTGTTAAAGCCTCTTTGGCACTTCCAAAGCCCAGCTGTCTACACACCACACTGGAGGCTTGTAAGTCCCATCGGTCATCACACACTGTTCCCCATTCTCCCTTCTTTAAGACTTCCACTCGGCCTTCTCCTGGACGAGCGCCTCCCTTCAGCCGAATGACCTCCTGCAATGAAGAGGATAAATAAACATGGTTGGTTCTCTTAAGTCAGTAGATCTATGGATGCAGGTCCATTGGAGCATACTCACGGACCTCACGTTGTGGCTGTGATAACTTCTTCTTCTTTATGGCTGCCTGGGCTGGAGCTCCATGGCCCACAAAGGCCGGTCCAATTGTACAACTTATCACAACCGGCGCTCCGTCCTGACAGCTGTCTGTACTGTTCACTTTGTAGAATTCGAAGGGACATAGAGAAAGGTGCACTTCAGTGCCGCCACATTTCACCGAGTGCAATCGAAAAGATGGCTTCTGTCTCTCCAGATACAACCTGTGTATGAGAAGAAGAGCAGGCAACTGACAATGTGCAAATGGCGGGACAATCCAGATCCAGACACAGGCCAGGAGAGGCTTCTGCCTAATCAACAATATTACACCATCGACTCCACAAAGTAGAATGGAAGTTATTCATCTGCAGAGGCAACAGACGGGTTTGTTCTCAGAAGACACTGAAGTGACAACCAAGATATCAGCAAGGCAACCAACATTGTGATCCTGACACGGGGACAAGGAGGTGCCCATATGCTTCCTTCAAACACAAAGATATTAATAATACAAGGCATTCGCTATGTACACGTTACTGAAAGGCCATCCATGATGGAGGATGACAAGGAAGGTGACTGTCCTTCACTGGAAAAGATGATAGAGAACCGAAGGACTCGGAGATTGTGGATTTCTGGTGGAGAAGATGTGGAAGAAAGAATATGTAGCATGAAGCACTGCCTCATCTTACGTCAGAGGAGCAGAGTCTCCAGTCACCATGACTTCTCTTGAAACTAGACTACAGATTTGTTACGGGAAATGTCTGAGGCCTGACCTCCACAAGTATGGAGATCACCAGCCCTGAAATAAAACTGAACTACAGACTCATCGAGGGGCCTGGCCAAGGCCTGACCTCTACAAGTATGGACTTCACCAGCCCTGAAATAAAACTGAACTACAGACTCATTGAGGGGCCTGGCCGAGGACTGACCTCCACAAGTATGGACTTTACCAGCCCTGAAATAAAACTGAACTATAGACTTATTGAGGGGCCTGGCCGAGGCCTGACTCTCCACAAGTATGGAAATCACCACCCCTGACATAAAACTGAACTACAGACTTATTGAGGGGCCTGGCCGAGGCCTGACCTCCACAAGTATGGAAATCACCACCCCTGACATAAAACTGAACTACAGACTCATTGAGGGGCCTGGCCGAGGCCTGACCTCCACAAGTATGGACTTCACCAGCCCTGAAATAAAACTGAACTACAGACTCATTGAGGGGCCTGGCCAAGGCCTGACCTCCACAAGTATGGACTTCACCAGCCCTGAAATAAAACTGAACTACAGACTCATTGAGGGGCCTGGCCAAGGCCTGACCTCCACAAGTATGGAAATCACCACCCCTGACATAAAACTGAACTACAGACTCATTGAGGGGCCTGGTCGAGACCTGACCTCCACAAGTATGGAGATCACCAGCCCTGAAATAAAACTGAACTACAGACTCATTGAGGGGCCTGGTCGAGGCCTGACCTCCACAAGTATGGAGATCACCAGCCCTGAAATAAAACTGAACTACAGACTCATTGAGGGGCCTGGTCGAGGCCTGACCTCCACAAGTATGGAGATCACCAGCCCTGAAATAAAACTGAACTACAGACTCATTGAGGGGCCTGGTCGAGACCTGACCTCCACAAGTATGGACTTCACCAGCCCTGAAATAAAACTGAACTATAGACTTATTGAGGGGCCTGGCCAGCCCCCCCCTTAATCACATCCCACCATCAACAGCACAAGGCCAGCAGACCACATGACACCCCAGAAACTGTACAACCCCCGCAATCACATCCCACCATCAATACTACAAGGCCAGCAGACCACATGACACCCCAGAAACTGTACAGTCCCCCCAATCACATCCCACCATCAATACTACAAGGCCAGCAGACCACATGACACCCCAGAAACTGTACAGCCCCCCCCCCCCTTAATCACATCCCACCATCAACAGCACAAGGCCAGCAGACCACATGACACCCCAGAAACTGTACAACCCCCGCAATCACATCCCACCATCAATACTACAAGGCCAGCAGACCACATGACACCCCAGAAACTGTACAGTCCCCCCCCCCCAATCACATCCCACCATCAATACTACAAGGCCAGCAGACCACATGACACCCCAGAAACTGTACAGTCCCCCCCAATCACATCCCACCATCAATACTACAAGGCCAGCAGACCACATGACACCCCAGAAACTGTACAGCTCCCCAATCACATCCCACCATCAATACTACAAGGCCAGCAGACCACATGACACCCCAGAAACTGTACAGCTCCCCAATGACATCCCACCATCAATACTACAAGGCCAGCAGACCACATGACACCCCAGAAACTGTATAGCCCCCCAATCACATTGCAACACCAACACTACAAGACCTACAGACCACATGATACCCCAGAAAAAAAAGGCCACCCAATCACATCCCCACCACCAACACCACAAAGCCAACAGACCACATGACACCCCAGAAACTGTACAGCCCCCCAATCACTTCCTACTACCAACACCACTAGGCCAACAGACCACATGACACCGCAGAAAATAAAAGGCTCCCCAATCACATCCCACCACCATACTACAAGGCCAGCAGACCATATGACATCCCAGAAACTGTACAGTCCCCCAAATCACATCCCAACACCAACACTACAAGGCCTACAGACCACATAGTACCCCAGAAAAATAAAAAGCCCCCCCAATCCCATCACAAGACCAGCAACCACATGGCACCCCAGAAGCTGTACAGCCCCCAATCATGTCTCACCACCAACACCAGAAGGTGAAAAGACCACATGACACCCCAGAAACTGCACAGCCCCCCCCCCCCCACTATATCGCACCAAAAAATGCAACAAGGCCAACAGATCACATGACACCCCAGAGACTGCCCAGCCTCCCACTGTTTTCCACCAATACCACAAGGTAAGTAGACCACAACACTGCAGGAACCAACCAGCCTCTTGCCACTTCCCACTACCAACATCACATGGTAAGCAAACCACAAGGTACCACAGGAACCGCCTAGTCTCTCCCCTTTTGCTCACCAACACCACCAAGGACACCACAAGGACAACAAAGACAACACAGCACCCCAGGAACCACCCAGTCCCCTCGCCAGCTCCCATCACCAACACCACAAGGTAAGAAGTTCACATGGTACCCCAAGTACAACTTAGCCTCCCCCCTTTCCCTCCAATCACCAATGATACCATAAGGACAGCAAAGAAAACATGACACCCCAGGAACCACCCAGCCCCCTCGTCAGCTCCCACCACCAACACCACAAGGTAAGCAGACCACATAGTATCCCAGGAGCTACTTAGCCTCCTCCCTTTCCCCACCACCACCTAGGACACCACAAGGACAACAAATAGAGACAACATGACTCCCCAGGTACCGGCCAGCCTCCCACCACATTCCACCACCACGACATAGAGGAAGCGGCCTGTTACCTGTCGCCGTTCTTCAGTTCCTTCTTTTTGGGTTCTTGACTAGGAAGAGATCTGTTGGACAAATGGCATGAAATCACAATCCACCAAAGATATGACACACGGCTGCTGCTGGGTTATGTGCTGAGAAAAGATGAGCAGTTAGGATAAAGATTCGGGGAATGTCTTAGCCAGTCCTGAATTCTATGGCTGAAGCCTTGTGTATGCACAAGTTCCACATTTTCCCAGCTGTAGAAGTTCTCCTCATTGCTCATCCATATAGATCACCTCACACCTAATTCCCCGTCACGTGTACTGTCACACCAGAAGGTCTACCAAGGCAACAACATGCCATTTACAGAGCCCCTTGTAATGGGACGTAGTCAGGAACCGAGTGCAGGGACCTCTCCAGCAAAGAAGACCTTGGGTGGCTTCTCATCAAACACTGAGATATCAGTTATTGTCCTTCGGCCCCACAAAGACACTTCACAGAGCCCCCGAGACTATATCTTTACAATGAGTCGGATCTGCAGAAGAACGTGTTCTCAGGTAAGTAGGCCTAGAGCGGCTCTTCTGCCAAGACGGAATTGTGTGCGGAGAGATGAAGAAGGCACGGAAGGGCCCATAGAAGACGTATGAGAGCGGGGAGGTGGATGGAGTGTCTGAGGCTGAACTGTGAAATAATACCAAAACCCCGTGGCCACCAGGAAGATGTTCATTACCCAAAGGGCCAATAAGGACAGGCCTGTGGGTCTAGTGTTCATAAGATAGGCAATTAATGGACCAATGAGGACAGGCCTGTGGGTCTAGTGTTCATAAGATAGTCAGTGAATGGACCAATGAGGACAGGCCTTTGAGTTTAGTGTTCATAAGATAGTCAGTGAATGGGCCAATGAGGACAGATCAGCGGTTGAAGTGTTCATAAGAGAGTTAACCAATGGGAAAATGAGTCCAGACCTAGAATTCTAGTGTCCATAGGATAGGTAACCAATGGGTAGAGGAGGACAGGTCTAGAATTCTAGTGTCCATAGGATAGGTAACCAATGGGTATGAGGAGGACTAGGTCCTAGGATAGTCAACCAATGGGTAGATGAGGACAGGCCTAGAATTCTAGTGTCCATAGGATAGGTAACCAATGGGTAGATGAGGACAGGCCTAGAATTCTAGTGTCCATAGGATAGGTAACCAATGGGTAGATGAGGACAGGTCTATAATTCTAGTGTCCATAGGATAGTCAACCAATGGGTAGATGAGGACAGGCCTAGAATTCTAGTGTCCATAGGATAGTCAACCAATGGGTAGATGAGGACAGGCCTAGAATTCTAGTGTCCATAGGATAGTCAACCAATGGGTAGATGAGGACAGGCCTAGAATTCTAGTGTCCATAGGATAGTCAACCAATGGGTAGATGAGGACAGACCTAGAATTCTAGTGTCCATAGGATAGGTAACCAATGGGTAGATGAGGACAGGCCTAGAATTCTAGTGTCCATAGGATAGTCAACCAATGGGTAGATGAGGACAGGCCTAGAATTCTAGTGTCCATAGGATAGTCAACCAATGGGTAGATGAGGACAGGCCTAGAATTCTAGTGTCCATAGGATAGTCAACCAATGGGTAGATGAGGACAGGCCTAGAATTCTAGTGTCCATAGGATAGTCAACCAATGGGTAGATGTGGACAGGCCTAGAATTCTAGTGTCCATAGGATAGTCAACCAATGGGTAGATGAGGACAGGCCTAGAATTCTAGTGTCCATAGGATAGGTAACCAATGGGTAGATGA